GGAAAGAACAAAAAAAAAACTTTTTTCTTTTTTTTCCCGGTGGGAAATTTTTTTTTTTTTTTTTTTAATAAAAATGATGATTTACAATTATTTCCAGTACTTCTCCATTACCTAGTAATTATTCTTACATGAATATTATCTTAAGTGATTGCTTAAAGAAAAAAAAAAGTAAAAAAAAAAAACCAGTTTTGCGGTCTTTGGGCAGAAAAAGAAAGAAAGAAAAAAAAAAATTTCAAAACAATTTTCCTAAACTCATCATGACGAAATTCAATAAAATAATTACAAAAAATTGTTTGAAATAATAATAATAATAATAATAACATAAATAATTTTTTTTTTTTTTCAAAACTACTTTCTTATAAATTGCTTTAGACAATTACATAATAATAATAATAAATAAATAAAAAAAATTAATTTAAATAATAATAATAATTTTTATTAATTTTTAATATTTGCGAATCGTAAAATTTTATTTTAAACAATAATAATAATAATAATAATATTAATAATAATGGCAATTTCGGAATTAAAATAAATTTTTTTATTTATTGCGAAAGGAAATCATTATTAAATTTTTTTTTTTTTTAATAAAATATTTATGGAGTTTTGTAGTGTGTGGGTGTGCGCGTGTGTAGAGTTTTAACACAAACATGGATTCATAATAAAAATAAAAAATAAAAGATACAACTAATAAAAAAAAAAAAAAAAATTGTCTCATCATTTAATTGAAAACAATTGTAAGTCATGGGAATTTTAATGAGGAAATATTAGCCTAAGTGGCATCCATACTGAAAGGAGGTAGCGGTGAATGTCGGCATAATAATTAATAGGTACAGGTGAAAAAAGTCTGTCATGGAGTTGTTTTAATGTTTTACCATCATCTACAATAAACTTAAACCACTTTAGCGAATCATCGTCGACCGCCTAAAAAAAAAAAAAAAAATTTTTTTTTTTTAGATTCAAAAATTTCCTTTGTAAGTCATTCCGCCATCTTGATTAGTTTCAAAATATTTGAATTTTTTTTTTTTTTAACAAACGGTTTTGAATTTTTTTTTTATAAGCTTTCCATTGTTTTTTTTTTATGTTTAAAAAAATACAAAATAATAATAATAATAAAAAGTTGTAAATCATTGTTTGAACCCTTTCGTTCGTTATTTTTCTTTCTTTCTTTCTTTTAAACAAACAATATCAACATTTAAACTTTTTTTTTTTTTTAAATAAAAAATTTGTTGTGCAATTGTTTATATTGTTTATTGTTTATTAATAATTATTATAAATAAATAAAATTTTTTTTTTTTTTTTTTTCAGGGAGTTCATGAAAAATGAAGTTTTTTTGCGACGAAGTTGTTCTTTTTAGAGAGAAATTAAAAAACAAAAAAAGGAGAGAAAGAGATAGAGAGGGGGGATAGAGGGGAGGGGAGGAGAAGGAGGAGGACGGAGGAAAAAGAGTAAAAAAAGAAAAGGGAGAGAGGAAAAAGATTAAAAAACATTTTTTGTTTAAACGATAGGGAACTGACACAGCGATATTCGTCTAAGTGGCATGAGCGGTGTTTTAATAACAAAGTCAAATGTTATGAGGATGTAATGCTTTTTAGATATAATGTGTGGTGGGTACTTTTTTTTATGTGTGTGCCCTTTTCGTTTTTCTTTATTAAAAAAAAAAAAAAAAAAAAAAAAAAAAATTTAATATAACATTCTCATCATCATAAGAGTAAACTTATTTGTTTTCCTTTTTTTTTTCAACTAAAATATTTGACAAAAAAATATTATGGATACGTTAGAGAAAAAAAAAGGAAAATTTTATTAACTTTTTTTTTTTAATTATTATTATATATATATATATAGGATACAAAGGTTTTTTAAAAAGCTCTCATAATATTTTTTTCCCTAATTTTATTTTTTATTTTTTAACAAAATTTTAAAAGCAACGCGTTGAAAATGAATAAAAAAAAAAGTAAAACAATTGCTTCCTTCGGTGAATGTTTTAAAAAAAAAAAAAAATTTTTTTTTCCGCTCCGAATCGGAAAATTTAATGTTGTTTCAGCTTTTATTTTATTTTTTGACACTTTGAAAGCTGTAATTGAGTTTTGAGATGAAAAAACCATTAGTTTCTACAACGTCACAACTCCTCTTTTTTATTTTTTTTTATTCCTCTGATTTATATTAAAAAAAAAAAAAATTTTCATAATAATTTTTCTTTTTTTTATAACAAAAAGAAAATGGCTACGTATTTTAGTTACTTTTCCTTTATAAATATTTTTAGTCGTTTTATTACTACCTTAAAAATAATTAGTATATCTTATAGATTGATTTTCCACTAAAATATTAGTATATGTGTTGACCCAGGTGTTAAATTAACAATTCTCTTATACTAAAAAAAAAATATTTAAAAGTCATCATAGTCGAAGGGTGAAAAGAACAATCCTATCCTATCCTCCTCTAAATATATATATATAAATAAATAAAAGACAAAGATTTTTCAATTCCATTTAAATTATTATCAATATTATTATAATCATTCGACAGTTATTTAATATAAATAAATAATCAATTTTTTTTGTTTGTTTGTTGTTTTGTTTGTGTTTAACTTTTATTCATTGAAAAAAAATTTTCTTGGTTAGTTTCCTTTTTTAACGTACGCGAGTTATGATATTCTTCGGGTAAATTATTACAAATTTTAATTTTAATTTATTTTCAGGGGGCGGGGGGGTGAAAAAGGAAAAAAAAAAGAAAAATATTTTTACGAATGAAAGATGCACTTTTAATATTTTTTTTTTTTAAAAAAAAAAAAACAACATCTTTATTTTTAAAAGAAGTATAATATCATAAAAAATTGCTGATGTCATTGAGAAATGGAATGCCGAAAAGAAAAGATGGCGGGTAGACAAACAATCAAGTGTAGAGTTATCTTTGATTGACTGTCACGGTATTGAAATTTTTCCCTGTGGCATAAAAAAGTTTTTTTTTTTTTTTTCAACATCAAACAAAAATCAAGTCTTTTAATTATTTTGATTTGAGTTTTTTTTTATTTTTATTTGTATAGTTGTCAACAAAGATCGAGGTGTAAAAAAAAAAAAAAAATGATTTCGATTATACTCTCTCTCTCTCTCTCTCTCGTTTGATTGTTATTATTGTTGTTTTGTGTTCGCCAAGTTGGTTATAGAAAACTAATTGGGGCCAGCCCGAGTTTTTACAAAACATTCACAACTTCATTCAAATCCATCAATTATACAACTTTTGTTACGTAAATTTTTTTTCTTTTCTTTTCTTCCTTTTCATCTTTGCGTTTCTTCTTCTTCACACACACACACACACACACACACACACACACACACACACACACACACACACCCACAAGCAATGGCGGATCTTAACGTAAATATTTCTTTTGGAAAATGATATGAAAAGGTGTATATATTGTTTTTGTTATATACACACAAAATGAGAAAACCCCCCGAAAAAAAAAATTTTTTTTTATTTTTATTTTCCATGTGTTACGTAAATATTTGTAAAACGTTGTCGATGATGATGCCTGATACTCTCTAAGATACATTACAATAAATTAAACAACACTTATAACAACCACTTGACTATTTTTTTTGTTTTTTTTTTTTTTTTGTAAAACCCTAAAAATTTTTTTTTTTTAAATATATATATTCAATAGAATCAATATAAATAATTAATATTTATGTTTTAAATTTTACGTAAGTCGTACGTATTATTAAAATATAAATAAATAAAAACTGTAAACACAAATATATATTTAACGTGCAAAATATATATATATAAAAATAAAGGAAAAAAAAGGAAATATAAAGAAAGAAAAACAGAGAAACACTCCTTAAAAACTGCTGTTTTCTTTGGCATGTTATTTTAGATCCAAGTTTTTTCCCCACCTCCCCCCCCCATTTATAAGAGCAAAACAATCATGGCATTGTGCTTCCTGATGATGGTCAAGTGGCCAAGCCCAACCCGATCAACAAATTTTTTTTTTTTTTCTATTTGATTTTCAAATATTTTCTTTTATTTAGATTTTTATCGAACAATAATGTTTTTCATATTTTCCCTCACCTCTCCCTCTCCCCCGGATTTCTTTTTATTATTTATTATTATTTTTTTTTTATTTAGTGAAAAACTCATTGACAATTCAAACCTTTAAAACTAGAAACAAATAAATAATTTTTTTTTTTTACATTCACTTTTTAAATGTTTTGAAATAATTATTTTATCATTATTATTATCAAAGTTTTTTTTTTATGTAAAATTTCGTAAATAATTAATATTACAAAATTTTTTTATTAAATAATAATTTCATTATTATTGTTTTAGTAATCATGAGAATAAATAAATCAAAATATTTTTTTTTTTTGTGTAAAAGTTACATTTACAAAACAATGAGTTTTATTATTATTATTATTATTATTATTTAAAAGTTATTAAATAATAATTGAATTGAATAATAATAATAATAATTTCTTGAAGAACATCCTTTTAAAAAAAGGAAAAATATATTAATAAAATTAAAGTTTTCCGGAGTATTTTAAAAACATTTACGTTTTTATAATGGCGTGATCACGTAGCGTAAAAAATTCTCGATGGAGGAACCCCTCCCCCCATTACCCCCATTTCTCCACTCCCTCCTCATTCCCCCTCTCCTTCTTCCCCCCACGTTTATTTCAAACAATTTGCATACATTCGTTTAAATTCGTCTTCCATTCTTCTTTTCCCCCGAGGGCTTTACCAAAGTAAACTTCTCAATGCTGGAACCGTTTAAATCCTTTTTCATTAGGTTTTCAACATTTTTTTTTTGTGTTTTTGATTTCGAAAAAAAAAAAAAAACTTTTCTTTTCTTTTTTTTCTACTTCTTGAAAAAAATGTTTTAAATTAAATATTTTTCGAGTAACGTTGGCGTGAAAGAAAAAAAAAAGGTTATACCTGAATTTTATTTATTTATTTTGATTGTATTTCTTAATGATGCCGGTCAGACCTGGAGAACATATCCACACACACACACACACACACACACACACACATTTTATTTACAATTTTTTTTTTTGTTTGGATCCTTCAATCATTATAGCCAAACATAAATTATTTATTTTTATGTTGTTATTAATTTTTTTTATTTTTTTATTTTCAGATTATTTATTGACAAAAAGAAGAAGAAGAAGAAAAAGTTTTATGATTACTTTTTTTTTTTTAAATTGAATTACCGAGCGTGTTTCAATTTATTATTAGCCAAGAAATTAAAAAAAGAAAAAAATGGCGGCGAGGCGTTAACCCGTTGTCAGGTTGAGGGTCAAAATTATCCAGGTTTCCGCCCCTTATCAAAACTTTTTCCCAATTTACTACCTGTTAGAAGGTAAATGCGTGAAATATATATCTTTTGTCTTAAAAGGTATTATTCATTTATTTATTTATTTATTGAAATTTTATGTCATCCATTAAGGATGACTACACATACCTAACATAAAATTAACGGTTTCAATTTTTTTTTCTTTTTATTTAAAACGTGTGAGAAAATTATTATTATTATTATTCGATTGAGTACTTATGTAAATAAATTAAATTATTATTATTATTATTTTAAAAAAATGAAATCATCGATTTTTGAGGGAGGGGGCGAGGGGGAAAGTTTTTGAAAGGTAAAACTTAAAAAATCCGAGTCAATAAATTTTAAATTACATAACTTTTTAATAAAAATTATTAATATCGTGGATTTCAAAATCCCCCCAAAAAAATAAAAAAATAATTTCAAAATTTTTTGTACTTAATGTACTTAGAAAAAAAAAAAAAAAATTTGCGTTGGTAAACTAAAAAGTCAAATTAAATTACTCAATAATTTTTTTTTTTTTAATAAATTTTAAACTTTTTTCTTTTCTCTCATTCAAAGACTTTTGTTGGAAAAGAAATGAAAATTCGGAAGCAAAACATTTTTTTTTTTTGAAATATTATTTTTAAGAAGAAGAAAAAAAAGTAAATAATAATAATAATAATAATAATAATAATAATAATAAATTTTTTTTTTTGAAAATGGATGTAATTTAAAAAATATTGTTACCTGTAATTACTTTTTATGATTCATCATAATTATTTTACTTAATATTCTAAAAAGTTTATTATGGCGGTATCTGATATCATCTCTCTTTCTCTCTCTCTCTCTCTCTCTACATGTCGTATATAAAACAACACCGACGTGTATATGATAAAAAAAAAAATAAAAATTTATTTATATCATGCACGAATCCACCTCCAACTTTTTACTTTTACTCGAATTATTTTTATTTTAATGTTAGTAAAAAAAATTGTTTACGTTATACATCTTTTCTATATTTAATGTCAATTATTTTGGGGGGTAGAAGGGAGGTGAGGGGAGCGTAATCGAGTTTTATTGAATCACACTAAAATAAAACATTGAAAAAAAAAAATAAAAAAATTTGTCAATAAATGTGAGAGATTATAAATATATCTGGAGATTAAACTCAAATTTCCACCGTTAAAAAGTCATAATAATAATAATAATAATAAATAGAGTAAAAATGTACGTTTACTAATGAATTCTTTTGTTCAAAAGCATCGAGAGTTCCAGTTGAGCATCCGTTCGCAAGGCGTTCGCTCAACTATAAATGCTAACTGAATTGTAGCAAATGAGTTTTTATTATTGATTGTTCGACTAAAAACATGCTTCCTACAATTATCCCACCAGATTTTTTTTTTTTTTTAACTTTTTTTTTTTTGTCAAATCAAAAGAACAGAAAAAGGGGATGATTATTTATTTTCTGTCGACCCGTTCGTTCGTTTACGTATTAAAAAAAAAAAAAAAGTTATTAATTATTAAAAATAACATTTTTGTTTAAATTCAGCCATTTAAAAAAATTTTATTTAAAATGCGTTTGGTCACTAAATAAAAAAATTATCTTTATTTTTAATAGGCTTAAGAATAAATAAATTTCAATGAAAAATAATAATTATTATTATGAGGAAATAAATAATTTAAAAAAGTTTTTCTAAATACACTTGAATTATTCGCACAAATAAATAAAAATTTCGATACGAGTACTCTTAAAACATGTTTTTATTTTATTATTATTTTGGTTTTCAAATAAACTTGTATTCGAATGCACGTACATGAATAAATATTAACAATAATAATTTATAAATAAAAAAAAAAATTTTTTTTTTTCCAGTAAAAGTAACGCGACACACACACACACAAATACTTGATGGGCGTCAAAATGGTTTATAATGACTTACACTCGAATGGTAATGGAGTCCTGCTGTTCTTTATTTTCGATTCAAAAAAATTTTTTTTTCTTTTTTTTTTTATTTACTCTATGACAGTTTAGTGCGACTCAGTTAAAAAGTGAGCAATAATAGAATAATAATAAAATAAATAATTATAATCTTTATTTTTTTAAGAATAGGTAATAATATTAGTTTTAAAAATGGGTAACCATTTTTTTTTGTGTTATTTTCTATTATAAATTTTCCATAGCACTATACAGCGCGTAAATAATAATAATAATAATAATAATGGTAATGAAAATATTAAAAAAAACTTATAAAAACTTATGGGGGGAGAGAGAAAATGTTCGATAATTAATTAATTTACTGGTTAATTATTTTTTAAATTTACAATTTATTTAATATACATAATATTTAACTTTTTATTATCATAAATATTATTATTATTATAATGGCACATATAATTTTTTCTTGATTGAAATTTCCGCCAGATGTTACGACAAACATAAAACAAAAAAAAAAAATATTGATTTCAGGTTTGTTCGCGTTTGTTTGTTAATTTTTTTCTTTTTTTCCAGTTCATTTCAATAATTTTTGAAATTTTTGTAAATGTATAATATTTAGTAAATGTTGCTAAAAAGAATAATTTCCTACAGCGGAATAAATAAATAAATAAATAACCGTTAATAATCATAAATATGTTATGTGAAACCGGAAGGAAAATATTTTGAACATATTTTTATTTTAAAGGATTTAAAATGAGCCTAAATATTATATAAAGTGTCTGACCAGAATTTTTTTTTTTTGTTAGCATAATTAATTTAAATAAAAAGGAAAAAATCTCTGTCGGCCGTTAGCGTTTAAATATCATCCGGCGGAAATGCAATCGTTTTTAAATATTTTGTTAATTATTTTATAGGAAAAAAAAAAAAAACAAACTCACTTATCACTATGTTTCTTCGTTTTTCAAATTGATTGGAGACAATTCTCCCGATAATGAATTTTGTTGTTGCAATAATTTTTGCTGATGATGCTGTTGCGCCGCAATTAATCTTTGCTCGTAAATTTTATTTACTATATGTTGTTGTTGTTCCATAAATGATAGGCTTCCTGTCGGTAGCATAGCCATCGGATGTATTATTCCCGTTTGACGAATCCAAAATGGTAACTGAGGAGAACGCCTTTGGGTTTCGTTAGAAAAATTCGATTCGATAGGTGATACCCTGAGCGGAGAAGTTTCTTCTTCTTTGTTAAAAGACGTTGATAATGCGGGGGATGGAGTTGATGTTTGACGATTTTCTATTATCGATAAGTCTTTAACGAATAATCTTTGGTTAGGTGAATCAGGTAAATCATTTTTTATTCTATTCCTTCCGGTGCGATTCAATTTCGAACAGCTTTGAGACACTTCTTTCGAATTCGCCACGGCTGCTAAATCTTCATTAACTACGTCTATATCGTCGTCGCCTTCTATTTCGTCACCGTCGCTTGACAAATAACCGTCTTCGTACTTTCGTGGATGCTTCACGTTGACTTCTTCTTCTTCTTCGTCGGGCGCGAGAAGAGAAGCAACATCGAATTGTCTTTTACGTGTTAAATTCTGTATGGGTGGAAATAGGCTAGACGTAGTTAAACCTAAACTGGAACCGACCGTCGGCCACGAGCAAAGTCCAGGTATCGGCACTCTCGGAGGCGGAGGTGTTATCGGTACGGGTGGAGGACTCGGACTATCGTCTGGTTCTTCGTCGACGGCTAAACCCATATGTTTTCTCACCTTTCTTTGTGCTTTTCGCCTTCTAAAATCACCCTTTTTGAAGTCTTCCACGTTTGCCGGGTGAATCGCCCAATAATGACCTTTCCCGTTGGCACTTCTACCCGCTTTAACAAAACAATCGTTTAACGATAAATTGTGCCTTATTGAATTTCGCCATCCGGGACCCCTGGATCTAAAATAAGGATAATTATCCAATATGTATTGATATATATCGGAAAGGACCAGCTTTCCCTCGGGAGAAGAAAGTATGGCCATTGCGATTAAACCGATGTAGCTGTGTTGAGGTTTCGGTTCTTCCGGTTGAAAGACTCGATTGTGAAATAACGACATTTGCAATGCCAAACGAGGATTATAGGGATAACCCGGGCAAAACGGGAGCTGATTATTATAATGTCCGAAATTGGAAAACCGCAATCTTTCAACTACGGCATAATTGTACAGTTGAAGTCTATATTGATCGACCGGTAGCAAAGAAGATGGCGTACGAACGTTTGAAAACGGATGAGCATTATTTTCATCAAATGTTTAACTCCCGAAACTGAATAAGCAGCACTGGAGTCGTTGGTGCCATGTTCGGCGATGGTACGGGACTCTGATTGCTGCACATTTATTTACTATTATTTTCGACACATTTCACTTAATCCTCCACTTTAAAACAATCAATTTCAAAAACCGAAAAAAAATATATTTCCACTGTTGAAAAACAAAAACAAAAAAAAAAATATTCGTAAAACAATTCTTCAACCGAAAACATTAATTTACCGGCAAAATCATAAATCAACTGATTCTCACATCTTTTCATTCCTCCAGCAACTTAAGCTCCGCCCATTCAAAACTTAAAAAAACTCATTCTAAAATGAACTCGTCAATTCGATTTTTTACAATTGAACACAATTCTTTTAAAACTTTGTTTGTAATTTTGAAACTCAAACTTTTTATTCATTTTAAATTGATTACAAATGACAATTTATCTTATATTAGTAAAGGTAACATCTTATATTTATTAAAAATTTTCCTCAGAGTTTCCCTTTTTCGGAGTGCCAGTTACATATTAAACACAAAATCACCTAACTCCAGTACTTTATATATATATACTACTTTTCTTTTTTTTATTCAATCAAAACTGTTTCGCATCATTTTTGTTTTCTTTTTCTTTTTTTTTATTACTTGACTTTTCTTTTTTTTTCGAAAGGATTTTAAAAAGATTTATTAGAAATTTAAAAAACCATCACAATACTATTTACTCATACGTAATTTTTATATATAAAAAAAAAAAAAACTTTTTCCTAAATTTCTTTTCTATTTTGAATATTTCACAAACTTTAATCATTTATATAGAATTTTAATATAATAATAATAATATTAATCATTACAGTCATTACAATAATAATTATATAATCCGATCGGATTTATTTATTTTTAATTATTATTTAGAAAGAAAAAAATCCATAACAAAAAAAAAGAAAAACATGGATTAATACGTATTAGAATCCGAACAAAATAAAACATTAAATTCCCTCTTAGTCTCTGATTGGTTCGTTTTGGACGCTGGAGGCAATTCAAAATCAATATCAAAAATGATTCCGAATCATTAAATATAAATACAATGAAAATTTTCTCATTTATTATTGGTATATTAAAATAAAATCTTAATACTTTTTCTTTTTAGAAGCTTTTTTTTTTTATTTTAAACAATTTTTTATGGAAACCATAAAAAAAAAAAAAAAAATCGGTTTTATTTTTTGTATAAGTAGAGTTCTTTGGAAATGTTTTTTTTTTTTTTTTTCTGTGTTTGTGTTTGTTAAAGAAAAGTTGAAGCATGATTAAAATATTATTTTTACTTTAAAATAGGAAAAAGGATTTTAAAGAAGACTAAAAATATTCAACGTGATATTTGAATGAAAACATTTACTGTATGAAAAGAGAGAGAGAGAGAAAGAAAATAGAAAAGCGTAACACACACACACACGTATACATAATTAAAATTTGTATTTAGTAGCAATGTTTTCTTTACATAAATTATTAAAAGTTTATTATTATTATTATTATTATTATTATTATGAAACACGATGGATGGGGCTCACAAGATAATTATCTAGTAGTAGTAGTAGTAGGTTAAAATCCTTTTAGACAACCACCAACCAACCCTCATCATCATCGTTTCGTTTAAAAAAAAAAAAAAAAAAAGAAAATTTCTTCATTGATGCCTTCAAAAGAGTTTTGTAAATTAAAATTGCTCTTTGATTAATCTCATTTACAAATTATCTGAAAATCTAACCGCAAAATTACAAGGCCCGGAAAAAAAAAAAAAACCCGACGAGCGTAAGGCTCGGTCAATAAAAAGGGTTGACGGTGGTTGGCAACAATGATGATGATGATGATGACCCTCTTAAAGGTTGACAATAACAATTTTTAGCTTCTCCAATTTCTTCATTTGTGGTCTCCTTAATCCCGTATTATATATTAAAAACCCTTTTGACAAATCTTTTGTTCGCTTGGTAAATATTTACTTTAGCTCTCTCTCTCTCTCTGTTCTAGGGTCCCTAGGGTTCGACGAAGCCTTATGCATAATTGTTTAAAAAACTTTCGGTAAAATTGTCTTTTTTTAATAATAATTTCAATATCAAAAATTTTTCCCCGTTTTTTTCTTTTTTTTAATTACATTTAACATTTACCTTTTTTTCTTTTTTAACGATTAATTAATTTCCCCCCCTCCCCATTTATTTAACTGAAAATTTACATCGCTACAAGTATATATGTGCAAGAGGAAAAAAAAAATTAATTTTTTTAAAAATATATTCGAACATAGAACATTTCAATATGAAAGTAAAATCTAAAATATTGATTTGGTGGTTGTGAAAAAAAAAAAGTAAAAAGAGCGCAAGCGATCCAAATCATCCGTTTTTCTTTTACTCGACACACACACACACACACGCATACACACGCACACACACAAAACGAAGTTTTCTGAGGAAAATAAGATTAGAAACATATATATGTAGGGTGTAACTAAGAACCGGAAGTATCTGTCTATAAAATAAAGTTAAAAGGTGTATCCAAACGTAGTAGCAGTAGCAGTAGTAGTAGTAGTAGTAGTAGGAGATAGGAGTGATGAATTACAATTGAATTCCGTTTAGATAATTGTCATGATATATATTTTTTTTTGGGTAAATTAATGACGAACGTCGTTCTCATCACAGTCGACATCTTTGTAAATTTTCCCTTTCGAATAAAATTGTCAAATGGGGGGAAAAAAAAATCAAAATGATCATCACTCACGTGGAAAATACAACCAATGATGATAATTATTATTACGATTAATAATAATAATAATAATAATAATAATATTTTAACAAATTTTTAAGTAAATTTTTGTTGTTTTTGTTACAAAATTAAAAATTTTCACACGGAAATGAAATAATAATAATAATAATAATTTTAAAACAAATTACAAACGTTACGTACCTTTTTTTTATAAATAATATCCATCCAATGACGTAACATTCACAACATAAATATTATTATTATTATTATTTTTTTTTTGAATGACAAGTTTTCAAAAGAAAAATTATTTTTCGGGTTTATTCTAAGGATGGATTCAGGTAGGCAATTACAACGGTCATAAAATACGTTATAAGGTTTATTTATTATTATTATTATTATTATTATTATTATTATTATTTTTATTGAAAAAAAAAATTAGTTTAAATAAATTATTTATTCCTGTTGAAAAGGAAATTTTTTTAAAAATAGGTAAACACTTGAATAAAAAAATATTAAAGCCAATAAAACAGGAAGGTTTTTATATAATTCGAATCCATGTGGCTAATAATAATAATAATAATAATAATATGAAACTTTTATTGTGGGGCTAAACAATAAAAAAAAAAAAAAAATTTACTCAATAAAATAAATAAATTCGCATATAAAAAAAAAATTGGTTTGTTATAATTTTTTTCGGTGAGGCCACACGTGGAATTTTTATATATATATACCGCACTCAAATGTAAAAATGTCTTCATCATTCAGGTATGGTCCCAACCAAACATAATGTCAGAGAATTTCAATCTCGATGACACTTTGCTTTTTATTTTATTGTTACAAGGGGATTATAATTGTCACAACACTTCGTTGTAATTGGAGAGTTTTTTTTTTTTTTGCAAATTTTAAATTCATTGTCAGATTCAATTATTCAATGCCACAAGTTGTGAAGAAATTCTTTTTTTTTTGTTTGTTATTGAAATGATGGTTTTGTCAAAGATCTTACCATTTCATTCAATCTTTGCTGATGCTGTCGCTACTGCTGCCTTCTCTTTCTTTCTTTCAACAAACTATCAAACCTTTTGTAAAAATAAAATTTTGTTTTGATGTTGAAAATAAAAAATTATATTTTCTTAAGGTTCTCTAATAAAATAAATAGATAATTATTAATATTTTCGTATTTACAAAGTTTTACATAATGTTTCATTTTATTAAATATTTTTAAATAACACGCGTGTAAAAAAAAAAAATATTTTTTTGTTGGGGGTTTTCTGGTGTCAGGTTTTTGACATTATTGTTATAATTGAAAAATTGGCCGTTATATAAAAAGAAAATAATAAAATTTACGAATGCTCGAGTTACTTTATCACACCCTCTCTTATATATATTTATGGCACAAAAGAAGAGAATTTATTCAATTAATGATGTAGGACGTTTTTACTCATGTTTCTTCTAACTGATTATTTATTGCATCATTGATTCAACATAAATTTTCCTTAAAAATAAAACAAATTTTTTTTTTTTTTTACAAGTTAAAACAATATATATATATTTCGCTTGTGTTATTGTTAAGTTAGTATTTGGCCGTGTGTAAATTAAATGTCGGCTTCCTGAGTAGTAGTAAAAAAAAAAAAAAAAATTTTTTTTTTTTTTTTTAGATATAATTAAAAGCCTGTTTCTTCGAGTAGTAACCAACTCACATCAAAGATTTCAAATAATTTCATTATGTATCTGAAAGTGTGCAAAGTGCTTTCTTAATTGACTTTTAAACATTTGCCCACCTATCGTATAATTTTTAGTTTATTCCTTTTTTTAATTTAATAATAATATTTTTTTTAAAAAAAAAAAAAACTTTGTCGGTTATGAGTAATAATAATAATATTTTTAACACGCACACAGACACTATAAAATCAAGTTGATCATATTTCCCCCTCCCCTTCCCTTCCCGTTTTCCTTACTGGGGGGGTTGTTGTTTTAATAAAACAATTTTACATTCACAAAACGAAAAAAAGTTATTATTGATTTATTAATAAAATGAACAAATGACAAGAAGCTGGAAGCCAAAAAAAGGAAAGAAAAATTTACTCGAATAAAAACCCCTCCAGAGAATTTTCTCCAGAGACCAATTTTCGTATTTACATTTATTAGCAACTGGATATATAAGCTAATCATTGGTTATGGATAAAATTTTAACCTTTTTTTTTCTCTGTTGCTGTCGTCTTATAAAACCTGAAACTTAACGTTTTTTTTTTTTTTTAAATAATTTTTTTCTCTCATTTTGTTTTTTTTTTATATATTAAACATAAATAATTAAAGTTTAATAATAATAATAATAATATATTTTTT